TGTGTTGGCTGCAGGACATCAATCCCAGGGAATGCCTTTTGAAGAAATCAGGTACCTGTTTATCATCTTCTCACTTGTCAATGAACATTTCTTTGAAAGAAATCCTGGCGGGCTTGATTAGTTACAGTAATGTTCTTTTGCTTTCCCTTTGGAATGATAGAGCATAATCACTGGCTTATGTAACATGGTACCCCACTTGTAAATTTGTGAAGGATGTTCCTTTCATTGACAGTTCTAGTGTCTGCCATATGTTTGGGTGGAATGAAGCCCTGGTACTCCTCTAACTGGGCATAAATTAGGCATCATCAGCAGGCCTTTGACAGGATCCATTTTACCATGTCCTTATTAGTTTTTAAGCTCTGAATTCAACATTTGGTGGGAAGTCCAACTTCCCTCTTAAGACAATAGAAATGTACTTCTTGAGCTTTTAGGCTGAAGCTATCCTCTAGGCTTAAATCAATTTCTATCTGTCTATCTATCTATCTATCTATAGACACATACATAGGACTGTGAAAACTGCTAAATGAAAGGGATTCTTAGGCCATCCTTAAAAATAAGAACACAAGGGCCAGGGATTTAGCTCAGTGCTTCCACTGCCTGCCTTGCAAGCACAAGGACCCAAGTTCGATCCCCAGTACCAAAAAAAAAAAAATAATAATAATAATAAATAAAAATAAATAAATGTAAGAACACAGTTTTTGAGTGCTTCCTACATGAAATAGCAAGCCCTATTTCATGCATTTTTACATAGGTTAAATTTCTTGATTTTTAAAGCAATTTTATAATTTAGGTAAAATCTCATTGCAGAAAAGGAAATTTAGACTTAGAACTTAAACTCCCATATTCTGATACAGTCACAATTCAAATATTGAGCTCTATTTGTGAGCACCCATTCTTGCTCCACTGTACACTGAACACTGTACAAGCCTAGGTTTGGAAAAAGAGAAAATTAGTTTGAGAACAGGTGATCATGTGGGATGCTATTTGGTGCTCTATCTCTCACAACTTCAGTTAATTAAAAGGAAGGAACAAGACTAAATGACCCACAAAGTCACTTGGTTTTCTTCTTTATGGTTAAACCTGCACACTACCATTTACCATGAAGTCATACTGAGTTGTTAAATCTCAGTGCACTTCAATTTCCTCTTTTGTAAAATACCCTATCTGGTTTCCCATGAATGTGACAGTCTGTAAATTACGCGAGACTGCAGGGATATACATGGCTATGATCACCTATCAAACCCAAGCAGCTGGCAACCCTTCCACCCTGCACTCACTCTTCCCCCACCAAACTTTTATGCTTTATTCTTTCAAGGGAAGTTTAAAGTTATTCAAGTTCCCAGAACCTTCCGTATCTAAAGCATATGATTTCCCTACGATTTTTTGTCTTTCTGCTATTTTAAGAATTTTTTTGAAAAAATCAGACAAACATACCTCCCTAGTATTCTTTCTTCTCTCACTTGCCCTCAACTTCTTCTCCTATAATCCTATTTATAATCCTATTTCCATTAATATTCCCTGTCTTAGTTACTTTCTTGCCCAAAACTCACAAATTACAGGAGGAAAGGTTTATTTGGCTCACAGAGCCAAATAGTAGGCCAGCTCCAAGGCAGAGCAGCATAGCAGAGAGACATCACAGAGGACATTGTTTATAGCATAGCAGTTAAAAATCAGGGAGCAAACAAGAGGTAGGGAGGAGATAGACCCAGGCTACACCCCCAGTGATGTACATCTTTGGACTGGGGGATTCCACTCCTGACAGGATGAAAGCTATAACCTCCCATAACCTAATCACCCTCCAAAGGCTTCACCTGACTGCACAAGGCTTTAGGTGGAATCTGTTTTATTTGCTCCATGTTTCTGGATATTTGTCCATATGCATTATAAGAAAACTCTCCAAAAGTATGATGTGGTATAGCTTACATTCCTTTCATTTTATTTTTCTTTCTTTTTTACTTACTTTTGCGTTTAAATATTTTAATTAACAAATCATAATTCTATACATTAGGTACAATATGATGCTCTAATGAATTTATAATGCAGCATGACTAAATCAAAGATATCAATAACCTCTATGACCTATTATTTTTATAAGACTTTGAAATTTACTTTCATAGTCACCCTGCTGCACCAGATTTGCAAACCTATTCCTCTGTGTATCTGAAATTTTGCATCATTTTATAAACTACTCTGAAATTCCCTCCTTTTCCAACTCCCATCAGCCTTTGTTAACCATTATTCTATTCTCTAAGGCTTTCACTTTAATCGATTCTTTATTTAAGTGAGCTTATGTGGTAGTTTTTCCATGCTCGGGTGCTTGGTATAGTTTATTTAGCATAATATCCCCCAGATCCAATCATTTTGTTGCAAATGATAGAATTTTACCCACTTTTAGGGCTGAATAGTATTCAATTATGTATGTATACATTATTCATTCACTGATGGACACTTAGGCTGTTTTCACATTTGGGCTATTATGAATAATGACGCAGTGAACATAGGAGGATTATTATCAAATTGACATGTTGGCTTCAGTTTCTTAAGATGTATATCCACAGTGGAATTATGGTATCTGCATTTGCAGCTTTCTATTCATTGCTTTTTTGAGGAACCTCCATACTGTTTTCCATCATGGCCATGCTGATTTACACTCCCACCAACAAAGTGTAAGAGTTATCTTTTCTCTTCGTGTGCCCTCCAACACTTTTATCTTCTATTTTTAAAATTAAATTCATTTTCAACTGATACATAAAACTTGCAAATATTAATGGGGCAATGTGACATTTTAATACATGTACAACTTTTGTAATGTTAAAATCAGGGTAAGCATAGCTATCTCTTCAAATGTTCATTGTTTCTTTATGGTAAAAGCATTCAAAATCCTTTTCTCTAACTTTTGAAGTAAATATATAGTACACAATTATCTTTGGTCATCCTAGTATGTAATAATATTCTGGAATTTATCATTCCTCTCTAAGCATAACAGTACTGCATCTGATTTCTGAGCAGCCAGCTTGTTCTCCCTGTGTGACATAACTTCTTCTGGCATTCTACATTTAAAAAAAAAAATCATGAATGTGAATTTAATTTTCTGTTTCTTTAGCCAGGACATTTAATTTTCTTTTCTCTTGAAATCTTTTCTTGGTTTCAGAGGATTGCCAATGTCTCATTTTTTTTCCAATGATTTTTTTCCTCCCCTGTCTGGCTCTTAAGTAAAAGAATTACCCAAAGTCTATCCTTGATCCTTTCATACTCTTCTAACTCCCAAACAACCACCTGTGTTGCACTTTTGATTTTTCTGCTAGCACGTGGGAAAGCTTCAGCAAAATGAGTTCAATAGAACAAAGTACAAATGGGTATTTGTTGATTCTGGGAATCAGACAAAAAAATAACCATTTCAGAGATATTCATGGATGTTATTATCATGTGGCAGCTGTGTCACTGTTCTGACTGTAGTGATGCAGCACAGATGGACCTTGAAACTAAAGCTTGTGAATCCAGTCATATCCTTCACTCAAAGTCCCTGAGATCAGCATCGTAATCCATCATCCTGAGCTTATCATATCTCATCTGTAGTGCATCAACTATTGGTCGACATGTAACACACAGCTGAACTGAATCAGTATGGTGTGGGCATCAAGGGTCCACCTGAAGATTGTTCCCAATAGCCATAAAAAGAGAACTGGAGGGGAAGATCTTGGCCTGCTGATTTTCTAGGAGGAGATATCTTGCTATTCTCATCAGAGGAGGCCCTCGAGGCCTTGCTGTCACTGGGAAAGACTGCTGTTTACATTAGGGGAGCTCTGATCTTTATCGTTGAGCATCACTTCCTGGCTCCAGTGTAGATCTCTCAGCTTGATGGCACAAATCCTTTATCTCACCAGTGTAGATTTTCTGACTTCCACCATTGGCCTTGGGGGCTTCCTGGTTGTAGATCCTCAAAAAGGACAAGCATGAGACATTGCTGTGGGCTCTAGGCTACTAGGTGGACTCGAGGAGGACACTGCCTTGGACTCTAAGCCTTTAGCTTGACTTATGTGGGAAATTGCTGTGATCTGGGCCCTCGTCTGAAGCTTTTGGGCTTCTAATGTGTGGTTAATCTTTTGCACTTCTTTGCACTTAACTATTTGGGTAATTATTATAAAATAATCTTAGAAATTACGTGTCTTTTAATTAAAGTATTCCCTTGCCAAATCCTGCTTTCTACAACATCGCTGTTTCATGTTACACTGATGTTCCGTGCCTACCACAATTACAGTGGACCCATTAAATTCCTGCTAATTCTCTTTGGACCAAGCACTGGAATTTTCTGATAAACTTCTCCACAGACACTGCAATGAGAAAACCACTGGCTCCAGAGAGTACAGACGCGCATTCCAACCATGTTCTTGGAGACTCAATAATCTTAATATTGTTTAACCTGTCTATAAAGCATTCAAGTAGTAAAAATAGCAGCCCAGAATAGTAAAACAGGGCTCATGAAACAAAGGTTTGATGCCTTTAAATATATGCCCACATCTAAAATGGATGCATTCTCCAAAAACATCTTCCCCAAATGCTTCAATCGTAGGACTCTCAGGATAGAGGAATAGAGAAGATAACTAAAACATGCTAAATAACAACAACAATAATAATAATTCTAAAAATTATCACAATACCTAGCACTTGAGTAAATCACTTGAGTAAAAGGCACTACTCACACTTTTAATGCTTTAATCACATCCTCATTAATCCTTAAAATATCCCTAGGATCTTGCCTTGTCCTATTTTACAAGTGAGCTGAGCCAAAGTTCATAGTGGTTCAGTGCAGTACCTTATGAAACATCACAAAGTCGAGCCAGCCACAAGAATAATATGTGATGAGAGTCAAATATAGAACTCATTTTAAAATGAAAAATATAAAACACATGGTAATAGCTCCATAAATAAATGTCTAATTCCAGAAACGTGTATATTGCCAATATGAGTGTAAATTAGACACAGGAAAGCAGTGTACTCACTCTCTGTCAATCACAAGGCAGGTCACGGCTTCTGCAGCAATTACATTTGCTGTCCTCACATCTTCCCTATATGAAAAATAGAGACGTTAGGATAAAACCATTAAGATCAAAAGAAAGTGTCTACTGTGATTAATTCAGGAAACCTATTAAATTATATAAACTCTTCTGATTTATACACTTCTAGGTGTAAGCTTTCTTCATGTTACAAATTTCTTTGTCCTGAGGAACCACATCACCCTGTCATTAATCCTGCAGAAAGAAAAATCCAGTAACTAAACTATTCAAATTTAAAGTTTCAGAAGGGAGGGCAAGTGTATGGGGAGAAAATGAGAACCAAGACCTGTCATGTAAAGGTACAAGATCCCAGTAATGAATGTAACTGTACCGTATACCTAAAAAGTACCAATAAACTCAATGAGAAAAAAATTTAAAGTTTCAGCTACAAAAGTGAAACAATTTAATATCAACATTTATTTTGGTCTCTGGAAGTTCTTGAATTAACTGGAAATTATGAAGTTTGTAGTGGTCATGTAATGCATATGTAAGTTTTTAAAAGATCTGAAGATATACTTCTTGTGTGTAAAATTGTCATAACATTGAAAACAATTGGTCTGCTATAATTATTTTCTTAATTTAGACACCCTATTTTTATATAGCTAAACTTTTGGTAATTTATGGTATACAGTTACTCATTTATATCAGAGCTTATGGTCTTTTAAGAATGCATGAAAAATCTTAGTCATACTGATTAAAATATGTAAAAGTTGTCACTTTAAAAGCTTAATTTTCCTTACAGTGTATTTATCAACCTTGTACACTTTAAATGTTTGTCCTAGTATCTTTTTTTGTAGTGAAAGGTAGATTTGAGAAATTAGCATTCATAATTTATTTTTCAGCTACTAAAAATTTAATGGTACCACTGTCACAACATTATGTGAAAATTCATTCTTTTTTATAATAATACAATTTCTAAGGTAATATAATTAGTTAGAAATATATTTGGAATTAATTGCAGAGATAAATGCACATGAGACAATATACTGTTAATATAGTCTAAAACTCACAGAACACTATATGTCTCTAATAACAGGCTTCTAGAGTCTTGAAAATAACCATGTACCTGGTGATTTTTTTATATTCCTCAAACATACTAAACTCTGACATGCACTTCTGGATTCTTTATTTTTATGTTGATCTCTTTGACTTTCATTGTGGCTACATCATGATGTTAAGGTTACAGTCGTTTTATAAAAACTAGAATCCAGTACTTGGTAAAGCAAATTCCCTCTCTCAAATGCAGTATTCCAGAAATATTTTGGTGATATTCTTAAGCATTCATCATTTTACAAAGACTTCAAAATAATGTTTCCTACTTCTAAAGAAAGAAAGAATCCACATTGGATTCTAGTAGAGATGTACTACATTTATGCATTGAGCTCAGAAGGAGCATTTTCTGACGACAGCCATTAACTTGTTCAGATTTAATTTTATGTTCTTCTAAATAAGATTCCATGATTATTTTCATTTGGGGCCTGACATTCGATGAAAAATTATTCTTGGGTGTTTCATATCAAGTTTCCTTATGAGTGACATTCCTTTCCCATTTGTTTTTCACTGGCTGTGCTACTAACAAACAAAGCTCTCCTGAACAAATCCACTTGGGATACTACGTTCTCTTCTGACTCTAAAATTTTTACTATAGTCTTACTAACTCCCAGGATGATTCTCCCAGTGCCTTCATCACATTTTCTGCCTTCAAGCCAAACTGGCCTCCTTTCAGTGACAAACTTTTCATGTCCCTCCTGCCATTAAGCTCTTCACGACATTCTACCCGCAGGCCTCGGAAGCACCTCTCCAATTGTCTGCCTGGTTCCCCCTGCTTATCCTTATCTCAGCCCACGTGCCCCTTCCTCAAAAATGCCATCCTGAATTAAGCAGTGCACATGAGCCGTAAACCGCTTTCATGACCACACATATGTGAACATGGCACCTGTAGCCATTTGTAAATTACACATTTATATACGTGGCCACTGCATGATTGAGACTATTGTTCTCCCACTAAGCCATAGGAGGGCAGGAGCCATGACTACTTTTGCTCCCAATTTTATCCCAGATCCCTGATATGGAGAAGGGACCTTGTAAGTGCCCCACAAGAATGGCACAGGTACCATATTCCAGAGTCATGGGGAAGCATAGTAGGGTTCAGGCATTCGAGTCCTACTACCTTAATGTTAAACCCTCCTCCACCACTCACAAGCCAAGGGAGCCTCAATTCCCTCACTAGTAAAATGGGAATGATATGAATACCCATTCACTGTATGGCATTATATGAGGTAATCAAAGATAAGCTTATCATAGGGTCAGGCACTCAGGAAAAAAATCTGTTCTTTTTATTGCTTCTAATTTTTCTCAACTCCAACACTCTCTATCATATGTGTCCTTGTGGAGGCTTTGCCTGGTGTTTCATAGAAACATTTCTATCCTGATAAAGGGGGGATGGGTTTTCTTTCTGCTCCGTAGAAGTAGACAATATAATTTCAAATTCATTAGCACTTTCAGAGTTGGGAGTTTTGGTAAGGTGAGCACAACAGGCGGGAAGTATCACAGCTGGTGTGAATGACTCATTTCTTAGGATATTGTTTATGGCAGCTTACGTTCCTACAAGTTAATGATAACTTTAGAACCACAACAAAACAAACAAAACCACCATCACACCTCTATAGAAGACATCCAATTAAATCTCACTTTCCCTAAATATATCTCCATTTTGATCTTTAGAGATTATCCAGAGAAGCTCTTAAAACAATATATACAACAAAAATGCTTCCTTTTAAATATATTTTCCATGCATATGAATTTTTAAAATGTACATATCACAGATTTCCAGTGTTTTAAGATTTTTACCATATTATCTTTTCTAACTTGGGTATTCCTTAAAAATTGAATGCAATGTCTTTGCAACAAAAAGAAAGTATTGAAATTTTAAAATATAAATGAGAATAAAATCAAGATCATAAGAATGCCTCAGTCAATAGAAATGGAAAATATTTTATTATACAAAGGAAAATTTTTAAGTATTGGCTAGAATTAGAGTAGCTAGGAAAGGACATAAAACTAAACTAAAAAACTATCCTAACTTTAAAAATAAACAAAAAATATTATAACATCGGGGGAATAACATATTAAACAATTAAATTTTAAACAATAAATTTATATTTCCACTTTTGAGCATCTAGCATGTGTTGGGAACTGTATTGATCATTTCATATAAATACCATTGTTGCATACCAAAAATGTTGGTTATTTTATCTCAAATTTCTATGTGGCAATACAGATTAAGCAATACACCAAAACTCAGGCATAGCTCCTGTGTTGCAGCATTGGAATTTGAACAAAGATTTGGCTGTTCTCAAAGTCATGCTCTTTCCTTACGAGAACATTGTTTATAAATTTCACTCTTGAATTTAATTTGATAATTTTGAATTTATTAAATTACTTTTTGTGCAGTATGCACTCTTAGTGCCCATCATTGTGAAAATTATAAATAATTGATAATAGAACCAATATTAATATATTTAGGTGTATCCAACTGCAAAATGAATCTGATGAGGCATTTTAGTTCTTAAAATATTAGTATTCCTATACATGGCTTCTATGTTTTTTATAATAATATTGCAATATCGATTATTTATTGTCAGGCTCATTCAATGCCTAATGCATGTTGTCATTACAACGGTATTGTATTTCTACTATCTAGGTGCTTAATGCCTTTGTATCTTTCTATGCAGGTCTCCAGAAATACTACTTCTATGTGCTCTGAGATTCTTTTCCTTTGAAAGACAAAATGCTACCCTACCTAGAATGGGCATACATTAATCTGTCATTTAGTCAAGATGGTAGAAATTTATAGTGAAAGAACATTATTGAATATAGCTACTGATATTATGATTACTTTGTACATTTATTTCCTTTGTGGGTCCAAAGACACTGGTAATAGCAAATATTGTTTGGGTTTAGATATGAATTGTTACACACTCATAACACAGAGGTCCTTACGCTGTTATTACATTGACAGCCATACATATGATAGATACCATAACTGGCTTCACAAAAAACCTCTACCTGGTTGGCAGGAGTAACAAGTAATACTGGTTAAATAGGTGGAAAGGAAAGATGGAGTGCAATAATATTATTTTCAAAAAATTGAGATTTTAATTTTTGGCAAATCAGGGTACTTAGTAAGTTCTAATAGAAAAAACATGAGATTTTGAAAAAGGTACTGACTATGAGATAATTTCAAAATTATAAGAATTATAAGAATTATAGAATTATAAGATAATGTTTTACTTAATCAAAATTTTCACCAAATACAACTGGCCCTTGATTGCCTGGCACAATAGACTTGTTTCTTTTTAATGAATAAATGTATATGCATCTACATAATACTCTAAGTCTAACATGCACATTGTTATAAAATAAAATCTCATGATTTTCTTCTTGAATGCCTATGTATTAGTTAATTTCAGCATGACAATTAATAAATACTACAGCAAAAGAATCTACTCTGGCAAATTAACAAACATTTTCACAAACGTGCTGTTGATTAACGAATAATTACAGTCAAATCTATGCAGTTTAGTAGTGGTTCCCTTTTAAGCATGTTTGGAAGACTTAAACATTTCTTTCCATGAAATTAAACAGCAGGAAAATATCTCCAAGTATTTGCAAATATGTTCTATGCACTGACTCTGATATTCTTTGAACTTCGTCACTGGAATCTTCATCATCGCTGTATACCAAAGTAGAATCACTGTCAGTAGCTGAATACTCCATTGCCAAGTTTTACATTGACTCTTCTTGTTCTGAAGCATTTCTGTCTTTCGTGGCTAACAGAGAACTCTATGACACATGGCTCTCTCATGGGAACAAATGCGGAGTGGATGAGGCCAAAGCAGATCATAATGCAAAGTAGCTGTCCGAGTAAGGGTGCTCCCTTTTCAGCTCTGGAGCAATGTGACTGCGGGCAACAGAGTTCCAAGCCTCTACCCGTGCCAGCCTTCATGGGA